CAATATCAGTCTGCGTCTTCTCAGGCAGCAGAAAAAGCACAGTGGATTAATTCATCACCATGCAAAGCCTTTGGCTTCGTCTGGAATAAATTACCCAATGACTCTCAATTTAGACTAAACACACACACACACAACTGGCCAGAGAAAGCATGCAGACACAGTGGGAGAGAAACCCTGACAAATGCAGTGAGGCTGCTCAGGTCAAAGGATTATCATAACCTGCTACATACTCTTTTAAAAAGTGAAATGGATCAAATGACTCTGTTTTGGGATGTTGAGTGAGCAGTATTTTAGGGTTTCCAGCTGATAAAGAATAAGCTTTGAGTTCCTTGGCAGCTTTGGGTTTAGGTGGGTTAAATGAACTCAGAATTATGGTTTAGACATAGCTAAACTTAAACATTAGTCAAGGTTTCTAGCTTCACTGAACAATGGCTTGATCTGAAACTGATAATGTGTTATCTTAAATGTTTGATCTGGATTAATTGGCACGTAATGGCAAATGCATCCAGACAGAACCGTTATAGACAGAGGTCATTTTCAAAGAATATGTCACTCTTATCCAGAAAGGCTTGTACAAATATCTAATGCTTTCAGCTAAGTGCCATATCATACAATTATTTTAAAAAAACTATTTCACCAAAGTAATGCAAGAACGATTGGGAATAATGGCACCAGCGCAGGTAAAGACCAAGTTGCTTGTCTATACTCAGCAGTTTACAGAGGATAGGTTTCCGTTAATGCTTAAAGTGGAAAATGTCAATTGGTCATATAATGCTACAATTATGTCTACTGTTTCTTTGAGAATTATTTCCTGACCAAAACAAGTGAAACAAAATCTAATATTTGCATTTCACACTACATTCATTCATTCACCCCATTACACACACATTCACACACTGATCATGGGAAGCTACTACTACATAGCCACAGGCGCCTACACCTGGGGCAGTCTGACGAAAGGTGAGGTAGCCATGAACCGGCACCACCATGGCCCTCTGACCACCACCATTTACATTTGTTAGCATTTCTATTGGTCTGTATCTGCACAGACCAAAACAAAAAACCCAAAACCGACTCATGTACCAAACCGTGACTTTTTTTTTTTTTAACAACTTCATCTATTTCTATTTTATGATGGTGTTTCAAGATCATGCTAGTTGAGAAGACAATGATCACTCTCATAAAAACCAACCCTAGTTAAATACAGTAATGTCAACCCTTCTTTTCTCTTTTTTGCAACAGGTGCTAAAGGTGTAGTCAGGATAAAATGAAGATTTAGGAAGAACATTTGGTAGTGAATGGCATGTGTCAAAAATAATAATAATAATAATAATAATAATAATTTGACATTTTCAATAATATCAACCCACGCCTCAGCCATCTGGGCCCAGTTTAACACTTGATGGCACATTGCCCTGCAATCTTTCTCACTTTTGTTCTCTTTCCATTTCTACTTCTGAAAGAAGGCAACAAAAAAAAAAAAAAAACACCCTTTTGTTCGAGTCCAGTGATCTGTGTTGCCTCAACAAACTTCAATGTGACCCATTCCTTTTTGTGTTCATGCTGAAAACCAGTGTGGGACACTGCGTACCGTGTTGGTGCAGGTGTGTTTTCAGGTTAAAGTTAAGGTCAAGTATCATACTGAACAGAAATGTGATTTTCATTACAAAAATAAGAATAAAAAGAGAGATATTCGGCACCAATGCAGGACCCGACCGACGATAAAGTGTGTAACCCATTTACTGTCACTCTGACAGAGAACTTGCGTCACTTTAACTGAAAGTATTTTATTCAATTCCAGACTACAAAAATAAATCTATTGGGAAATCTTCATGTTTGATGTACTCTAAAATTTAAAACAAAATGGGAATCATGTGCTGATGGTAAAGTAAGAAAACCTTAATCTGCATCGCCATGAATCTAATTAAAAACACAAAAATATGGACGAATCCATAAGCTGATATCAAGCGGGAAGGCCTTACAGCTTAGATGCTTGTAAACTCCACACCTCTCATTGACCCCTCTCATTTACATGAAGGGTAGCGGTAAAGCTGATTCTACATTTGTTGCTCAGGCAGGAGACCAACTTTCCTTGAGTGGGGGCAATCCGACTGGAAAAGTCAAGGCCAGATAAATGGTGTTGTGTTTGGCTGAGGTCTTTCTCTGTCTGACTGTTCGGCCCAACACACACGCACACACACACACACACACACACACACACACACACACACACACACAAAGGGGAAAAAAAGCCCACTATCACAGGACCTTGTACTTGAGCCTTATCATCACCAGAGCAGCACAGATGGTAACGTACCCTTGACAAAGACTCACATCACACTCCCAAACTTCTATTGAATCTTTCTCACACTGTAGGCGCCTGCACATGTCATCTCCCTGTCGCCTTCTCTCCCAGAATAAAATAAATAACTACGTGTGCGCCGAGAATCAGCACAACTCTGGTGAATTCATCTTTAAAACACGTCAAATTTATGTACCTTCTTGCTGATCCCACCAGCTGTGTGAATGTGAATTATTATTACAACCCCAGAGATGCACATGGGTGCTAAAAACGCCACCGATGGAAATCAACACTTGAACATGAGATACCACCAGTTGAGGCACTAATTGTCCTCATTACTGATAAATCTGCTGAATAGCCATTCAAATAGTTTGATGAAAATTTTTAAAATTAAAAACAGAAACAATCGAATGTACCTTTCAACAATTACTCTTATCTGACATGGAGTTCAGATGTGTTCTCTGCCGTCACCTCGTGGTATCTCCATACAAAAGGCTGCGCCATCTGTTGAGCTGTCCAATAATATCGGCAAGTGCTTTTCCAGTAACATTGTGTTGCAAAAGGCCTTATTAAATTTATGTGGATATGTGGCACAGCCAAACAGTTCCACAACAATCAATGGCTGCTATTGATCACATTTAAAAGAGGGAATCAAAAGAGCTCAAGCAGACGGCAGCAGCATGGGCTTGTGTTACTGAATCCCTGGTCACCACGGTGTGCCGATGGACGCGTGGTTTTCGTAATGAGAGCAGTGGTAATGTGATTTCCTGCATGTATTATGGTGCGTATGAATCTCTCTTCGTATAGGGTGTGTGGGGTTGGGGGTAAGGGCGGCTTAAAAACTGAGAGGATGTTAAAAACGACACCTTACAGGACAGGGATTAACCATTTCCAGCTGGTGGAGATGTGTATACCATTAGTCTAACTCAATCAGGGAACTAATTAAATCAAAGGCACACAGTGGGCTGTCCTGACGTAGGGGCATCTGTTACACAGACTTCTTTCTCACCGTGTCCTACGGTGACGCTTGGCCACAAAATGTGGGCCTGACAGAGCCTTTTGAGAAGTCTGAAGTTCATCAGAGGACCCCTTAATGCGCAACTAATTTCACAAAGTCACTTTTTTGGGGGGTTTCGCCCCAAAACAGGCGTTTTATGTTAGAGAGAACCCTATGGTTGCAAAAGTGTAATTATTAAAAGCTAGATTTGACTTTGTCCAGGAAATGTCACTGCTTTTCTTCCACAGACACAATGACGGCTCTCAGTCTGATCACGGCTAATTACCCAGTTTCTATTCGGTGGGATGCTGATGCTTCTCTTCATCGCATTTCAGGCGAGCTACTTGTAGTTCCTAGAAAAATGAAACTAGTTTCTTATTATTGAAAATAAATCTTCCAGCTATTTTGAAGGACACGTGCAACATAAAAACAGCAACAAGAAAATGTCTAAGATCGTCTAAATCAGGGGTCACCAACTCCAGTACTCAAGGGCTACCATCCTGCAACTTTTAGATTCGCCTCTGCGCCAAAATGTCTGAATTCCCTCACCAGCATTCATTCCTCTCTGCAATAGGCTGGAAACGAGCAGTTTATTTGATCCAGGTGTGTTTGAGCAGAGACGCATCTAAAAGTTACAGGATGGTAGCCCTCGAGGACTGGAGTTTGTGACCTCTGGTCTAAATCTTCTCCAGACAAAGTATTTTGTCAGTGTATACAAGCAAGCACATACATTTTGCTAGAGTCATGAAACTTTTCTCAGTGTGGAAGAGGAAGACCTATTAAAACAGAGCACAACTGGCAGAGAGGTGAATCAGAGGCCAAAGGTGCATGCAGAACCATGTTTTGAGAATAGATGTTGATGCTTTCTGCTTAGACTTTCGGCCCTGTACAGGCCATGCTCTACTCCCGTGTTGGGATCACACATGTCAGGTATGCTTAGATCATCTGAAAAAAAAAAAAAAACGGTAACAATGGTTTGCATCCTCCTGAAACTACAAAGAAAACAATAGTTGGGTCGGAGAAAAACGAGCCTACAACGTCAGAAGAGTTTGCATGAAGGCCTGTTTCCTCTGAGATCCCAAACTGTGTTTTCAAGTTCGAAAAGAGTCAAAATAAAGTGAAGTAAAGTTGATTCAGTCATGTGCAAGCTGAGTAACCACCTGGATCCTTTTTTTTTTTTTTCCTAGAATGTCCTTCCTGTGGTTTGCAGACATGGTTGTTTTTGTCCCTTCGGCACAGAAACTTTTTTTTTTTTTTTGCCTTTCCAGAATAAAGACTGAACAACTCAACTGTCTGTAACACAAACAAACACACACATGTTTGTCTGGCTATCTTTGTGGGGACTTTCCATTGACTTCCATTCATTTCTACAGCCTAAACCTTACCTTTACCCTTTTCCTAACCCTAACCATCACATACCTAACCCTAACCAACCAAAACTCAATTCATACCTTAGCCCTAAATCTGACCCTTGACCCAAAAACAGGGTTTCCCATCGTGGGGACCAGGCTCCGGTCCCCACGGGGAGCAATTGGTCCCCACAATGTAGTATATGTCAGGAAAATCGTCCCCACAAGGTATTACAAACAAACGCACACACACACACACACACACACAAAAGCAAACTTCTTCTGACTCGATCCCTCTCACACACACTCACTCTCCTGTCTCTGTGAACGTAATGAATGTAGGTTGTCTCACCTTGCAGCTAGGGGGTTTTAGGGGTAGTCCGGAGGCAGGATTTCCTTGATGCTGAGTTGTATTAGTCTGCTGGGGTGAGTGGGAATCCTCAGACTCTTTTCCACTGTGGTAGACCACCCTATCAGAGATATGAATACTTGAAGCACAGCCCATGCTTCAAACCCACTTCAGCCTTTTTGTCTTTTTTTTTCTTCTTTTCTTTCCAAGTGCGTTACTTTTGAGGCTACAAGAGTGTCATTCGTCCTCTCTGTGTGTTTCTGAAGGTCCACTCTTCCTCCGAAAGGTTAAAATTCTCTCCAAAAATATTTGTTTCTCTACAAATGCATATGTGTGTGTGTATATAACATCTAGGCCACAGGAAAGCCGGTTCTCCAGTTGCTCCAACATAAGGCATGAATAAAATATCTATCTAAACCCCCCACCCCCCCTTCCCACCCACCCACCCACCCCTCAACCAGGAAGCTGATTTCCTCTCCCTGTTTTTCACATGAAGTTAATTGGAGAGCTTCAATGAAAGCAGCTGTCTTGTCCTGGAGAAACTTGGGTTCCGTTATTCTTCAGCTACCAAGATCCCCACGGATTTTATCCCTCACTCCAGCTCTTCTTCTCGCCTTCAGTTCGTACCACATCATCATTTTCTCACTCCCCCCACCCCCCCATCAACTTCACTACTGCTATCAAGTAGGCCTGAGACCCCCCCTCCCTCATCAGCTTTACGCATGAGTTTTATCCATTTTTTATGTCCAGGGTTTCACGTGTATCCGTCCTCCCCCACCTCGGAGCCATCAAAAATATTGCCTTTTTTTTTTTTTTTTTGGTCTTCTTCAACAGTCTGGTTGTCCACTTCAGCTGAGCACACGGGCCAGAAAAGCGATTCTCACGACACTTTGCTCCAGTCCTGAGCGGCTCATCATCAACAGGCTGAAATATTCACACTGCGGAGTGTTATTCTGGTCAGTCGCTCCCATGTCAAACACCGTCGGTGAAACACAAGGCCATGCAGCCCGACAGTACACTCCATTTGTCAGCCCACAAATTCACCAATTTAGGAAGCGGGGAGATCCTGGTGGATGGCTCGCAGTCTCCATTCAGGCATCCGCTCCCCCGGTGGAGGATGATCCGCCTGATTTAAGAGGTCCAAACCCGGCTGCAGTTCGCTACAGGCTCCGCGATTTTTCCTCTCATTCTGGAGCTTGACAAAAACAGATGTAGAGGCTGTTTGATTGTAATATGAAGAGGTACCACCTCTGGAGAATGTAGTCGCTTGAGAGAGAGAGAGAGAGAGAGAGAGAGAGAGAGAGAGAGACGCACACGGAGGGAAAAAAAATCTTAAAAAAAAAGAAAGGGAGAAAAAAAAATCCCCGCTCCGTGTCCACAAGTTGAAGATGTTAAAAATCGGTGACGGCAGGATTATCTCAGTTTGACGCGAGCGGACATAAGGCGGGATCGAGCTACATAATGCTGATTTTAATGTTTGTCTTGTCTCTGCCTTTTCTGGCGTTTGCCCTTCCAATTCTTCAGCACTGCTTGACAGCGGCACATCCAATAAAAGCACCCGCAAGGATTGACCTACAGCCTTTACTGACGTTAATGCAAATGAGGAGCGAGCAGCCAATGGGAGGCGCGCTCGGCGTCGCTGGGTGGTCCCCGGAGTGCCGTGGGAACTTTGAAAGCAGGAAGAGCGCTCTCACCCGCCGTCCCTGAGCTGGCTGCAGGTACGCTGTTTACATGTCTCTGCGATTCGCTTCTTCCTGAACCTGGAATGTGCGCGTCTAGTGAGGTTTACATCCATTTGTTTGCCGCAAAAAGGATTTTTGCAGTGGTAAACCGTCAGCAAACGTACTACGAACCTATTATTGTTTCATAAAATTAGATAAAAAAAAAGAAACAAAAACAAAGACATCTATTTGAAGACCGCTGAGTATGTTTATGTTAATTGATATAAGTGGGGCGTGTTTTACTATTTTAATTATGATGTAGAAAATATTAGACCACACTGGAGCTGAATTCAACAGATTATAAATTATAATTGGATTATAATTTTAATCTCATTAGGTGCACCCTTACGTCGTCATTGCTTTTTTGAAATAAAATCACTATTGAAGCCATACATTTTAGCTGCAATAGTAAAAACCCAAACTTCCTTCATATTTTCACAATAAGAGCCCTTTGCGTCTGCTAGAAAAGGTAAAAAACAAAAACACATATTAAGATGATAAATCGTTTCTGCAGTATCTAATCTATGTCTTTATGTCTTTAAATTAATACTGCTACCAGTTCTAATAATTACCTTTGTATTGTTGTGTTTTTACGATGTAACATTTATTGATGGATCCCAACAATCAAGCAACTGTTTATCCCAAGAAATAAATATTCCTAGCTATCTGCAACCGGTAACGACTGCTTTTTCAAGACTTTAAAAATGTGTTCTTTCAACTCAACACTTCAAAGAGGAAATGGGACTGATCATCATCCCCAGATATCTAAATCTAAATATGCCAAAATAACTGGTAAGGGGCTGCACAGTGGTGCAGTTGGTAGAACTGTTGCCTTGCAGCAAGAAGGTCCTGGGTTCAATTCCCAGCCCAGGATCCTTCTGCATGGAGTTTGCATGTTCTCCTTGTGCATGCACAGTCCAAAAACATGACTGTCAGTTAAATTGGTCTCTCTAATTTCTCCTCAGGTGTGTGTGTGTGCATGGTTGTTTGTCCTGTCTGTCTCTGTGTTGCCCTGCAACAGACTGGCAACCTGTCCAGGGTGTACCCCACCTCTCACCCAGAACATTTGCTGGAGATGTGCACCAGCACCCCTCCCAACCCCACTAGGGATAAGGGTGTACAGAAAATGGATGGATGTAATTCTGCTTTTCAGGATCAAGACAGGTCCTGGATCCTAGATTAATGTGTTTTAGTTCAAAATACACCTATACACCAGATCAGCAATGAAAGTCTTGAAAGATGCTCACTGAAGCCGCTCAAAGAGTGTGATTGCCTACAGTCAAATGAATCCTTTAGTAAACTCAAAACCCAACATAAAAAAGAACAAACAGATGATAGCTTGCAAATGTTCTCAGACCTTAATTTTTAGAGACATGGGCCGGATGAAACAAAAAATATTTGTCTTTATTGACTGTCTTTACATTGACTTGTGGACAATGACCACCAAATTATTTACAAAGTAGCTTAGAGACAACAAAGTCAATGTTTTGGAGTGGCCATCACAAAGCCTTCACCTCTGTCCTATAGAGTACATTTGAGAGAAAAGCTGAAAAGATGAGTGTGAATAAGGTGACTCAATTGGACCACATGTCCATAAATGTGGCCATGGCAACTTCAGAAAAGTTGACTGACAAAGAATCTTGTAAACACGCATGTCATTTGATGCTATTGTTGAAGTGAAACAAAAGTGATAGACAATATAAGCATCCGACTCAACCTTGACAGAACGTGCAGATCTCTGCGTGGGGTTTGGTCACAGGGGGTAAAACTACTGATGTTAAAAATACTATTCTGGTAAAGATATATAAAAGGAAGAAAAGGAGATACAAAAAAACATCAAAGAAATGCTGCGACATTTATTCATGCATTTCTTTAAGGCCAACATTTGGCTAAGTAAAGGACTCGTTTAAACCTGAAGCAACCAATAACAGCTTCTCATGAGAGACACTCCTCCACTCTGTTGAATAGCCATCTTTTGAAACTCAAAACCTTGACTTTTAATAATGCATTTTTCCCCCCTTCTGTACCCTATAGGCTTCAAAGTCAAAGTGGGATTAACCATCATCACATGTTTCCTCCCCATGACATGTAAACTGACCTTTATCCGTCAAGCTGCAGGAGCTTCGGGAGGCTGGACGCCTCCCAGAGCTGTGCAGAAGTGCCCGGTGTTCCCGGTCTTCAGTGTAATTTATTGGAAACATTCGGTTTTTGTACCAGCAGTGATGGGGCTTTTTTTGCTGCTTAAAGCAACACATCACATGACTCTATTAGAGTGAGGGTTTTAGGACAAACCGAGCTTTTCAAGCAGCTTTAAAGCCACTAAAAATACCCAACCTCATGTGATTTACGACATCTATAAAACAGGAAACACCCCAGCTTAAACAAACAGTATAAATGTTAAATAAATGTTAAATAAAGGGTTGGCAGGCGGGATATAAATGAACCCACTGACAGGTCATGCTTTTTTCTTTTTTTTTTTTTTTTTGCCTCTTAGCTTACAGTGAAGCCGGCTGCATTATTCATGAGGGGATGACATGTTTACCGTTGTCTTTGCTTTTCTGTCACTTACGTGTGTTTAGCTATCTGTTATTATCGCCGTACTTTGTGCAGCTGCATTCTTCAGTAGGGTCTCTGCAGGACAGTTTTTTTTTTGTTTGTTTATGTTTGGTTTACCGTTCATCTGATGGCATTTTTTATCAACACTCAAAGCATCACTTGTGTCCAAAGTCTCCCATTGTCCGTCTGGTCATTTTCAATGTTCAGGGAATTTGAATCACATTCCTGAGGCACCAAACAGCTGCTGACCTTTTAAAGTAAACGTGTAAAGCCTCTGTGTTGTGTTGTGAACGGGAAGTAGAAATAATTCCAACTAAATCACAACGAGAGTAATCATTTGAACCTTTGTAAGAAATATGGGTTTCTAAAAACACAACGATCTCACATATTTATTTATTTATGGTCTCATTAAGGTACAGCATGTGTTTTTCTTTGGGCCCCTTCAAAAAAAATAATTATCTGTTTTGTTCGAATCTCCCCTTTTTTGACCTCATTTTAAAGCATGGCTTTTATTCAGTATGGATTTGTGCGCGGTTAATGGTAGGCAGTATCTTACCTGCAGGTGACACCTCTTGTTTAGACAAACAAGTTAAGGGTTAATCAGAGCAGGAGGAGGTTGTAAAGTATATTTTCTACAGCTGTTTTGTAGAAAATATGCTGAGTATCTTGTTTTGCAGGATTTAAAAAACCCCTGCAAAGTACGAAAACTATATAATTTTTGTGAAAGATTTTTTTAAAAGTATATAAAAAATGCAAAGATTTTCTTCTGCATTATGAACATCGAGATCACTGACATAAGAGGGCAGACAGGAGATGACAAAAAGGAGCATGTTTCATGTTATATTTATAGTTTTATTGGCTCTAGTAAACATTGTGGCAGGAGTCTGAACCCTTTTTATTCTGTCAGACTTTTTCCAACAAGGAGAAAAAGTCAGAGGGAGAAAATAGTTTAACTGTATATCAGTAATCTTAACTATCACTCTGATGATCCAAAAGTCCTTGGCGACTCCTCCTTTCATACGTAAAACAGGTACCATCAGCTGTTACATTTTAACTGTAGATTCTTCCAGAATAGTATTAATAGAAACCTATAGAGCATTTTCTGCCTCTCTATGAATTTCTTAGTGTTTTAAAGTGGGTTACTTTCATAGCTTTGTTCAAAATGTCAGTGTTATGTAAATGTACAAAAAAGGAAAGAAAAAAAAAGCCTGTTACATACTTTTCAAGTCGTGTTTTTCTTTTCTTTTGTTTTAAATCTATTTTCCTGGAATTAGGATCTGATTTTGATCCACCCTGCTCTTTATTTGACTCTCCCACTAGGCGGCGCCAAAGTTCTAGACCTCCCAACCTCCGCATTTGTAAAACTTTACGGAAAATATTTCTTCAAAATTGTGTTTTCTTCTTTGAAGGAGTTAATTAACGACTGTAATTACCGATATTTTTCAACATGCTATCGTCATGTCTTTAGTGTTTTAACATTTTCTACCTCATCAAATCAATCTTAATTTGAGGCAAAGATGAGTCAGATGGGTTGATGGATGGATTGTTTTTGAAAATTACCTTTTTCTTTCTTAGTATTGAGTCAACCTTTCCATAATGCAGAAAAATATGGACTTTCCCCCAGATGTTCCACAGTCTATTATAATCAGTATTATTGTGCTGTACAACTATAGAAAACATTCCTCCTGAAAATATTTGCATCTTTAATCAATATTCCTATACAAGGACAGAAGTCATCAATATCCTGGGTTTAGTAAGACTGAAACACTCATGGTTGTTATTTTTCTATTAACATTGATTCCTGTGCTGCTATTTCTCAGAATTGCATGTCAGCGGTGCTTTTTAAGATAGACGGCCTTATTCATCTGACCTCTTAGGTTAATTTGAGCGAGGAGGTCTGAGATATAACTATCTGTTTCTCTTAAAATCTGATACATTTGAAAGTTTCGTCATAG